AACCCACGAACCACAGACGCAAACTAGGATTACTATACCGAATTTATCCAAAACTCAAATGCAATAGAAAACAATCTATCAATATTACATTCAAGAACAAAAACCAAATTCAATCAAATTATATATGCATAAATCTTAATCAAGAATTGTGAGAAGGTAAAAAAGACAAACTTGGAGTGCTCAATCGATCTAACAATCCACGTTTGAGACGAGATGATTCGCGACACCAAATAATTAAGAACACAGCAGGATCAGAAGAGATGCAAGCAAATGAAACGAAACAAATTTACTCTCAAAACGGGAAAATGTCTTTATAAAAAAATAAAATTACTAAAACGAAGTCACTGATGACAGCCTTAGGCACACCGAACTTGTAAAATATATGAGTACGGAGAAAATCTGAAACTTTAGAATTGTTAGTTCTTGTGACCTTTGCTTCCACCCATATGGACACATAATCACAGCAAGTAAGATGTAAGAATATCCAATAGAAACAGGAAAAAGGACCAATAAAATCAATGCCCCAAACATAAAAAACCTCACAGAAAATAATAGGTTGTTGAGGCATCTTCTTGTTTTCCTTTTAATAATTTTGTTTTTCTGTAAAGAGACTTTCCTGTTTTTGAGAGTAAATTTGTTTCGTTCCATTCGCTTGCGTCTCTTCGGATCCTGCTGTGTTCTTAATTATTTGGTGTCGCAAATTATCTTGTCTCAAGCGTGGATTGCTAGATTGATTGAGCGCTCCGAGTTTGTCTTTTTACCTTCTCGCAATTCTTGATTAAGATTTATGCATGCATAATTTGATTGAATTTGGTTTTTGTTCTTGAATGTAATATGTTCAATTGTTTTCTATTGCATTTGAGTTTTGGATAAATTCGGTATAGTAATCCTAGTTTCCGTCTGTGGTTCGTGGGTTTAATTCATGTTAGTTTTAATTGTTGTTGTTTCAATTTTCGTTTTTAATTTTCATTTTTCAATTTTTGTTTTCAATTATTTTTTTAGATTTGTTTTCAAATTTTAAATTCAAATTCATTTTCAGATTTATTTTTAGATTTGTTTTTAAATTTTAAATTTTAAATTCAAATTCATTTTCAAATTTGTTTTTAGATTTATTTTTCATTGTCTTGATTTGCTTTCATTTGAATTACTTTTATTTTTAATTTATTGTTAAATCACAAACCCCCAAATTAATCACCGTTGCATGTTTAAAATTGGAAATAGAATGAATTTATGTCCTTATGAGATGACCTAGGTTTACTTCCTATATTGCATGCTTGTTTGAAACCATTACGACGTGGTTGTCAAAATGAATTGAAAACAAAAATTGAAACAAGAACAATTAAAACTAATACAAATTAAACCCACGAACCACAGACGCAAACTAGGATTACTATACCGAATTTATCCAAAACTCAAATGCAATAGAAAATAATCGATTGATACTATATTCAAGAACAAAAACCAAATTCAATCAAATTATACATGCACAAATCTTAATAAAAAATTGCGAGAAGGTAAAAAAAACAAACTCGAAGCACTCAATCGATCTAGCAATCCACGCTTGAGACAAGATGATTCGCGACACCAAATAATTAAGAACATAGCAGGATCCAAAGAGACGCAAGCGAATGGAACGAAACAAATTTACTCTCAAAAACAGGAAAATGTCTTTACAGAAAAACAAAATTATTAAAAGGAAAAGAAGGGTTTTTATTTAGGGGTTTTAATTTTATTTACTTGCGGTGGCCTTGGCCCATTTATTTTCATTTAAGACTAGTATATATAGGAGTCAAAATGTTGATTTTGGACCCTTCTTCTTTTCCTTTTAATAATTTCATTTTTTTGTAAAGACATTTTTCCCTTTTTGAGAGTATATTTGTTTTGTTTTATTCGCTTGCGTCTCTTTGGATCCTGCTGTGTTCTTAATTATTTGGTGTCGCGAATCATCCTGCTGTGTTCAAATAATATGGTTGTGATGGTGGGCTTGTGAGAGAAATCATCCCAAGTTCTCGTGCCTTTGTATGTGTAACTATTATTATGCTAGTAGGCAGAGAGAGGGGGATGAGTGCAAGGTCAAAGTGAGAAAGGGGTACCAAAAGGAAAAGGAAGAAAAAGAAAAAAGAAGAGAAAGGAGTGTAAAAAGAAAAAGAAAAAAAAGAAGAAGTTATATGAACTTTTATATAATGATGTAAAATATATTTAAAGACTTTGTAATTATATAATTTTAAATAACAAAAAATAAAATAATAAATAACATGGCATATTATATAATATATATAGAAGTATTAGAACTGAGTCTATATAAGTCAGTTTAACACTTAATGAGAGGGAATTAACTGTTAAATTCTAATTTCTTAATTTTGTAAAGACTAAATCATAATAAAATTTTTTATAAATATTTATCATAAAATGTCAAATATTTATAAAGATCAAAATTTATAACAAAGTCTTTTTTTCTCTCTCTTAGTGACATGCAACTCTACCTTTGCAAATATTACATTTATAACTACAAATTATAGTTCACAATTAATTAGCCAAATTATCATTATTTAATAAAATTATTTGCATAAATAGTTAAAATGTATTATATAAATAAAATAATTATTTTATGTAAATATATACTAATTAAAAATTTTAAAAATTAAATATATATTTAAAAGTTAACTTCTAATTAGCTGAATGTTATTTAAAATTATATTTTATGAACTAATTTTATAAAATTTTAAATTTTCTTTATTACTTATTTCACTAAATAGCTCTATTAATTTATTAAAATATTATAAATTTATATTAAAAAAACATCATTTACATTTAAGTACAGCTTATTTATGGATTTTTAGAGTTATTTTTAATTAAAATTAAATATTTATTTTGATAAAAATTATATTTAAAATTATAATGAATTATCAAAATAAAGTTTCGGTTTTAATTTAAAGTATTATGAAATATTTATTTTGTTATTTTGTATGTTTTAATAAAAAGAATTAATCATTTTATGAGTTAAAAAAAATATTAAATACTTAAGTAAGAATTTATTTATTTGACAGAACGAACTGAAAAATATAAATTTGTAATTTATCACTGTAAAATTAGTTAAAAGTTATAAAGTAAAAAATTATAAATATATAAGTAATTTATTAAACTAGAATTGTTTGATAAATTAATTATGTAGCTAACTTATTTTTATTAAATGACTTTAAATATTATATAATATATTAATATAATATTAAAATTAGATACTATTGAACAAGAATAAAATACAATAAATATTTATCTTCTAAATATTTACTACTTGGAAAATATAAATTTAATTACATAAACGATTAGTAATTTAATAATAAATATCAATATAAAAAAATTTAATATACAATTCATTTGAATAAAAGAAATTTTAATTTTTAATGAAAGTAAAACAATAAAAAATAAATTAATAAATGTATATAAAATTTTAATTATGTAAATGATAAATTATTTTAAAAATACAAATGAAAAAATATTCATAATTTTTAAAATTAAATATTTTTTAAAGTTTATATTATATATATATATATATATATATATATATATATATATATATATTATAACACGTTTATTGACTGAGTTAATAAATATACTGCAAGTTTTAAAATAAGCTATAACCTATCTATATAAATTTAAATTGATATTAAATAATTTATTTATTAAAATACAGTATAATGTTAATAAAGAAGATTGTTTGATATCATTATTAATATATTTTAAATAATTAATAATTTAAAATTAAAATATTATATATTTTACAAGCTCATGCATTGTAGGGATATAAACTCTAATTTAAAAAGGAAAAATTGACCTCTTCGTGGATTATCTATGCGGATTGAAGAACAGATTTACTCCTTGAAAGTATAGGGGTTAGGCATGAATGGGTTTGGCGACAAATTAATTCAAATTTATTTTATTTTTCTTAAAATTAGTTTTAAATTTTGATTTTAGTTTAAAACAAATAATTTTAAATTCAGTTTGAGTTGGAACCGATTTAAACAATGGATCTCAAACCAGTTGGGTTCTTTGCATGCAAACTTCATATTAGAACGGAAAAGAACGATTGACCAAAAAAACAAACGGAAAAGAATGGATGTGTTCCACATGCTCCCATGCACGCCATTCACTCTCTTGAAATCTGTCTAACTTTGTTGACAAACGGTAAGTTTATTTGCATTTTTATAAAAAGTTTTACTTTTTAAAAATAAAAATTATATATAATTTTAGTTTTTTTAAAAAATTCTTTTTATAAATATAAACAAACATATTTTAAATTTTTTTTTTATTTTTTATTTTTAACGAATTAAGAATAGTCTGAAAATGTCTGAATTTCAGACTAAACTTAATTTCTTAGTATTATATTTGATTAAGAAAATTGCTTATAAACATTAAGAAATGCCTTAATTTTATCATGTAAATATAATTAATATTATTTTTTTATAGATCAAAGTAGCCTCTGCTAGAAATACTAAAGCTTGAACTCAAAACTAACTAGAATATTTTTTTTAATTAGATAATAAAAATTACTGACCTAAGAACCTAAACTATAATTGAAAACAATTTTAATTGCACTTAAATATCAGTTTCTTTAAGGAGACTTAAAATATTAAAGAGACCCTTAAAAATGTTCACTCCTAATGCCAATCTGTAACGATATTTTCCCGTAGTTAGCCTGTCAATTAAGGAACCTCCACTTATTGGGGAATCCATAGACAGAGAAAAAGACACAACGGTTTTGTCGGTTGTACACATGTTTCAGTCTCTTATTCGACTGTCCGTGACCGGAGAGGATTATTTTCTCGAAAAAAATTATGAAAAAAATTGATTAAAATTTATTTTTCTAATAACATTAAATATAAATATTTTATTAAAATAAAATTGAACTTTTGAACTTTTGTACTTTTGTACTACCAGTAAAGTGATAAATCTTCCGCGTGATCCACGACTTGGGTCTAACTACATATATTATCACTCTTTCAATTCATCCCATGCATGCTGAGTCCTCTTCTCTCTCATTGATTGAACCAAATAAGAGTCACGAAAATGGATCTTCAGCTTCTCCTTGGGACTTTCTTCCTTTCAGCGCTTCTTCTTTACTTCTTTTTCCACCGTCACAGCCACCACCTTCCACCGTCTCCACTATTATGGGTTCCAGTAATTGGGCACATGCACCTCTTGGGTCCCCTTCTCCACCACTCCCTCCACCGTCTCTCCCTCCGTTACGGACCCTTATTCTCTCTTCGCCTTGGTTCCGTTCCCTGCGTTGTCGTTTCCTCCCCACACTTTGCTAAGCAATTCCTTCAAACCAACGAGCTTGCCTTTAGTTGTCGCTTGGAAAGCACTGCCATAAAACGTCTCACTTACGAGTGTTCTCTCGCTTTTGCACCCTACGGTGATTATTGGCGCTTCATTAAGAAGCTGAGCATGAATGAACTCTTGGGCTCTCGTAGCGTCAACAACTTTCAACACCTGCGTGCACACGAGACTCGTAGGTTTCTAAAGTTGTTGAGCCAGAAAGCTAAGGCTTGTGAAGCCGTGAATGTGACGGATGAGATGCTTAAGTTGACAAATAACGTTATTTCTAGGATGATTTTGGGGGAGGCAGAGGAAGCAAGGGATGTGGTGCGTGGTGTGACCAAGATCTTCGGAGAGTTTAATGTTTCGGATTTTATTTGGTTGTTTAAGAGTTTTGACTTCCAAGGTTTTGGGGAAAGGATAGAGGATTTGTTCCGGAGGTTTGATTCGTTGGTGGAAAAGGTTATCAGCAAACGCGAGGAGATGAGGAAAAACAAAGCGATAGAGAATGGAGAGAGTTGGAGGGGTGAGGGTGAAATCAAAGACTTTCTTAATATTTTGCTTGATTATGTCGATGACGAGAGCTCTGAGGTGAAAATCAACAGGGTTCACATTAAGGCCTTGATTATGGTATGTCTCATTAATTTGCTTCATTACCTTTTTCTTTAATTGCTACATTAAGTTCTTCAAAAAAAACTTCAAACATCTTTCGTTCTACTTTTGTTTGTTTACTATGGGCCTTTGTCGTACGCTCCGATAATAGTTATGCTAGGTAGCCTGAAACTATGTGGATGACGAAGTAGATCTTTTGCCTAATATTTTGTTTTCTTCTCTTTTATTTAAAAAAATGGTTTTTTTTTTTAAACTTTGGTCGGGGGACTGAGTTTAAATATAAAATTATAATAAATATAACAACTAAAGTTGGTTCGAGTGTAGCCTCAGGATTGTTTAAGCAATGTATCTGTTTGAGTTATTGTATATATATAAAAAAAAATTCAGTATTAGACTCATCTATCACCACATTTAATTTTAGTTATGCGACCAGATTAAATCGGATTAAAAAAATATAATAAATAATTTTTTTAATAAAATTTTACTATTAACAAATTAGATTATCTTAGATTAACAAAACTCTTTAAAAAAATGCTCATAACTTGATAAAGATAATTATTTTCTAAATTGCTATTATCTAATTAGGGGATGATGAAAAATATTAAAAAGAAAAATAATCTGTAAACATTAAAATGAGATTATTTTAATTTTCAAATATATTTTTAAGAAGTTCACTATATATTAAAAAATATAAACATTTATATATAATATGGTTTATATATGATGCTAGTTTTTTTAAGTTTAAATAATGAAAAGTAAATAAAAAATTAACATACAATATTTTGAATACCACGTAGGAGGGGTACAATTAATGTACTGTCTCACTTATTTTGGCTCCTCCATCGATTAAAATGCTTAATAAGATTTTATTTTAGCCAATCTTCATACCGGGTTTTTAAAAAAAGTAACTAATATGTAAATAATATATCTCTTTTAAGATTTTTTAGATTTTCAAATGCTAAACATTTGTATCTTCATACATAATATTAAAAAATATTTGAAATCATTACTTTTAAAACCACGTGAGTGAGTGAAAATTCATTACTCTCTCAATGGGTTATGTAGGATTTCTTTACAGCGGGGACAGATACAACGGCCACTTCAACAGAATGGGCATTAGTGGAACTCATCAAGAACCCTTCGTTACTACAACAAGCTCGAGAAGAGATCGACAAGGTGGTGGGAAAAAGTAGACTTGTTGAAGAATCCGATTTTCCAAATCTACCCTATTTGCAAGCCATTGTTAAGGAAACATATCGACTACACCCACCAGTGCCTTTGGTTACTAGAAGATGTGTGACAGAATGTAAGATTGAAAATTATGTCATTCCGAAAGATACACTTTTGGCTGTCAATGTTTGGTCCATTGGAAGAAACTCAAATTATTGGGACAACCCATTGGAGTTTTGTCCAGAACGATTCTTAAATATTGGTGAAGGTGATTCAAAAGGGCTCATAGATGTAAGGGGTCAGCATTTTCAACTTTTGCCATTTGGGTCTGGCAGGAGGATGTGCCCTGGAGTAAATCTAGCCATGCAGCTAGTGCCAGCACTGCTTGGGGCTATTATCCAGTGCTTTGATTTTCAAGTGATGGAGTCCAAAGGTGTGGTTTTGAATGATGATAACATGGTGATTGATATGGATGAGAGGCCCGGTTTGACGGCTCCAAGGGCTCACGACTTAGTGTGTGTTCCTGTTGAAAGGGAAAGGTTCAACTACAAACCACTTTAAATGCTTCGTTGCTGATTCATCTCTCCAATCAGATTGCACCTTCGTTACGTGCTTTTCTACTCTTTATTAGTGTATTCGTGGGAGCATCCTTGTTAGTTGCAATGGGAGTACCTACGATTGCTGTCTAATTAAATGCTTGATTGCTGATTATTGATTCAATTAGGTGCCTTTTTCTACACTTAATAATTATTGCATTCATTGGAGCATCCTTTTTTGTTGGAATTTGAGTATTTGTCCGGCTATGGTTGCTGTCTAATTAATAGGGAAGCCAAATGCTATTTGGTATAGGGAAGATATCAATTTTGTCTTCCAAGCAAAGAAAGTGAAACGCTAGTAATGGATTTTTGAAGGTAAATTATGTGCTACCGTGAAAATTTTATTATGGTGCATTGCATCAAAAATTTTAACTAATAATAATCAAACACACGTTTAAATAATATATTTATTTAATAATAAATTATTATATTTAGATTTTTGTTAACTTTTTATCACTACGGATAAAAAATAAACAGTTAATAAAAATAAATATTTATTATATTTTTATAATTTTAATATAATAATTATGTATTTTTTTATAAAAAAAATTTATTTGTTGATGTTTAAATTTAATCTTAAAGATTGAGATTAATAAAATTTTTATATTTATTATATTTAAATAAATTAAAGAATATTAAATATTCAAAAAAATTATAATATAATTAAAATTAAATAATATTATTATATTAATATATTTTTTATATTAATTCTAACTTTTTTACTTAAATAATATGTTTTTTAAAATAATTTTTTAATATATTTTTTTATTATTATTTTAATACTATCATTGCAAACTAACCAATACTTATTTTTTTATTATTATTTTAAAAATTTATCGTCACAAACCATTTGATTGTGTCTTTACCATGCTGAACAACTTCAATGACCAATTAGTGTTCTACGTTACTTAATCACCGATTTGATCACCTATGTCGTTGTTCGTTACCAGGGCTCGCTGCCTGATTTGTTCAGAGGTGGTCATTCGGTGGTTGTGGAAGGGTTCGTGAAGCCGTTCACGGAGGAGATAAAAAAGGAAGCGTCAACGAAGAACGTATCGGAGAAGGCTCGGAGTGGAAAGTGTTACTTTTCGACTACGGAGGCATCTAAGACACCATGCCAAGAACCTCAGGCTCACTACCCTCAACCTGAACCAGAAAGAAGACAAAGCCTATCCCACACAAAGTATGAACTACTGTCTTGTGAACGTCACCCACATCTAGGATTTAGCACATGTCGAACCATCCCCCATAACCTGGTCCAAGCCACAGTGATGGTAAAAGGGAGCTGAGATGATAGAGGGAACTGATCTAATTAATTACAAAGCCTTTTCTGCCCTGATCCTACCATTTCCTGTTACAGGGGTAGTTAAGTGTGATTACAGGAATAATGCAACAATTGCAAGGGGCACCGAAGGCTCGGAGTGGAGAGTGTTATCTTATTGGTATCTGCAATTTTATTTTTTTTCTTGTTGTAATGGATTATTGTGCGATGAAGTTTCTCAATAAATGTTTAGCCCAACGATAATGTAGCTATTTTATATACTTTGTTCTCGAAATACGTAGTCTACCATGCCAGTACAAATTGGTTAAGTTGTAAAATGATTGAAAAGGAAATATGTTTGCGCTGAAATTGGGTTTAAACTTGTTCCTTCTGCGGGTTTTTTTGCCTTTTTAGGGTTAATTTTAAAACAAAATACTAAAATAAGGCTTCATGTAAACATATTCCCGGTCTGGGGTAGGCGAGTGACGTGGCAAGAGAGTCGTCCATAACAGAGACGACACATATGATGACGTGGCAAACTGTGAGAGTGTCGTCCCACCAGTAGCCGACACTCATGACAGTATCGTCCCATTATTAGACGACACTCATGAGATATTGACACGTGTCGCTTAATGAAGTTGTGTCGTCTATTTTTGGACGGTTTTAGTAGCGTCTATAACAAAGACGACTCCAGTGCCGGTCTAAGATACCCGATTTTAATGTGACTAGTGGATAAAAATTTTGATATATTCTTTTATCCAACTTCAAATGTGTATAAATATGAAACTTTCACATTTTAACCGTGAAGCTGAAGAACGAATAGGTTGCTGGAGAAGAAATTGTAACTAGATAGGCTGGAGAAGAAATTGCAAGAAGAACAATAATAAGGTTAAATTTTTTTAAGCATTATAAATATATAATTTTGTTTATTGGCTATTAAGAATTTATATTTCGAATAATAATATTTATTTTATATTTAGATAATATTTTAAGTGTTAATGTTGTAATATAAATTTTTTAAGTATTAAAAAAAATTTAAATATTTATAATTACAAATAAATTTTTAAATATAATTTTATTATATTATAAATTTGGCTTATTTGTAATGCAACATGAATGAAATTGTTGTTATATTATATTCAAATAGTAGAATATATGAAGGAAATGAGGATATAATTTTTGAAGGAGAGAAAAAAATGATTAAGATAGAACGTGACATCATTGAGCGACACGTGTCAACATCTCATGACTGTCGTCTAATAATGGGATGACACTGTCATGAGTGTCGGCTACTGGTGGGATGACACTTTCACAGTTCGCCACGTCATCATATGTGTCGTCCCTGGTCTGGACGATTCTCTTGCCACATCACCTCCAACCCCAGACTGGGAATATGTTTACATGAAGCCCTGTTTTGGTAATTTTTTTAAAATTTAACCCTAAAAGGGCAAAAAAGCCTCCTTCTGCCTTGCTATGTTATCTTTTTAAAACAGGAATAATAATAAAAAATATAAGTATCAGATGGTTCGAGAAAATAGTTTTTTAAAATAATAATAAAAAATATTAATTACTCTATAATGATAGCATTAAAATAATAAAAAAATATTAGTATTAAATATTGTATGATGATAATTTATTAAAATAATAATAAAAATTTATTATTTTATTTCGTTTAATATACATGTAATTTTGACACTGGCATAATATCAAATATATTGGGACTATAATCTATTAAAATAATCATAAAAGTTTACCATCATCCATGTATAGGCGATAATGTTGCTAACTTAACAAAAAAAAAACATCAAAATTAGTTTTTAAAAAAATTCTTTTAAGAAATTATTTTTAAAAAACATATTATTTAAGTAAAAAAGTCCAACTTTACCGTTTCAAATTTTGTAATATTGTTTAAATATTAAAGTATATATATATGTGTGTGTATTTATGTGTGGGTTGCCCTATGAGGTGTGTTGATTGACATGAGAATGATCTGTACATATGTGTAATGATGTGGATTGTGATTGGACTGAAATAGATTAAATATATATGTGTGTGTATGTGTATACAGGCTAAGTATAGATGCTGAAGCAGGGCCATCTTGCTGGGCGTGTGGCATGAAACTGTCGCCTTGTCGCTGTAGCGAGAGTCTCTCGCTGTAGCGACAAAGCCACAGTTTAGGATGCATTTTTTGGTGCAATCTCGTTGTAGCGAGATTGTGCAGAAACCATAGTGCAGTTTTGTCTAAGTTTTTCACTGTAGCGAGAGTGTCGCGACCAAAAAGAGATTTAAAGGAGTTAGGGTTTGGGGAAGTTTCATTTCTCACTTTCCCTTCAAGATCTCTTTGATTCTCTCACTCCCAAACCATATTTCACCAATTAAATTGCCTCCAAGCTGCTTGAGAGCAAGATTGAAGGTTGGAATTGTGTGGGGAACGCTTGGAAGTGAATTTTAATTGTTAGGGTTTCGATTTTCTCATCCCCATCCTCTGATTTCTCGATTTTCCTGGATTTTTATGGGGTTCTTCCATGTATTTAGGTCAAAGTTCGTGCGAGGGAGCGTCTACCTTGTTGATTTGGTGTGTGAGTTTTCATTTGAGGTAAAACAAGACTCTACCCTATCTCATTTTGCTTGAAAACCTATTTATTGACTATGCTTTATAATGTGATTGAGATAGGATATGTAGGCTAATGTATTTTGATAGATGATGTGTGATGGGTATGATAGTGATGATTTGAAAGTTGATTTTGAGTGAGTTTTTATGAAGAATTGATAATCGAATATGGATGACGTGTTGGAATGTTGTGTGCATGCAATGAGCATGTGTGTCATGTGTGGTAAAGGAATATGGGCCAGTGAGCCATATACTGTGAATGAATGGGGGCACTTGCACCGTGTGTACAAACAACTATGGGCCTATGTGTCATGTAATGTTAATGACTATGAATATTGTGTGAAATTGGAATGTGTGTGAATGGCGTGAAAATGCCGTTGTAATGATGCTATAAATGGTTCAGCGATACACTGAAAATGTTGAAGATGAAGACGATAAAAATACCTTAGGAAAGAGAGAGTAGTGGTGACACCAACAGTGAGATGCTCACAGGTAACATACTCTCCTCCTGACTAGACCTCTGACCACTACCTTTGCTGAGTGACCCGTGACTGCCCACGTGATATCCGTGAGGCGTGGGTAACTGGCAATCATTCATAGTGTGAAACTGTGATCACAGTACCCCAATGAGTATGGCTGGGTGCGGTAAGCGCACATGTGTGAAATGTTGGTGCAATGACTGTATCGGTTGTGTTTTAAATTTGAATAGATGATGAATGATGATTGTGACTGAGATTGAGATGCTTGTCTTGTGAATGTATGAATTAAATATGTTAGTAAATGTGTAGTATTTGAGGTGAGTCTTTATGTTTGTGTGTGTTGGATAGTGTAAAGTACTCACTTTTACATTTATTTTTTAGGTGACCAAGACGATTAGCACCAGACTCAGTAAAGGAAGGATGAATTGCTATAGGACTTAGATTGTATTATGAAATTATGGTGTAACCGAATTAATCTTGTAGCAGTCTTTGATATAAACTTGTAATCTTTTATTGTTTTTGAACTATTTTATGAAACTCTGTGATTGGATCTTTTATTTAAATGAAAATTTTATTACTCCCATTTTGAAAAATTATAACTTGAAAATTAATTTAAGGTGTTACACCAACTCTCTTTTCTTTTTTGAAAGTCAATCTTTTTTCGACGCTAGGCTTTAGTCATCCTAGTTCTACACAGGAAGGGAAGAGAATGACCAACTTCCATTGTTAATCCCCAAACGGCTTGAAGCATCTAGTATTAGTTCATCTACCTTGATCTGCCTTCTGAATGACATGGAAGACTGCCCCTTTCAAACTTATTAGCTTAGAAAA